CGTGCTCGAAAACGGTTGACTTCCTGATTATAGATTATTAAATAGCTTTAAGCTATAGTGTAGATTTTGAATATTGCAGTTTTTGTATGAACCATGTAGCTATTTTATCGTAAATTAGTAATTTCTTTTACTGTGAAATAGATTGAACTTTTACGTTGATAACTTTCATTGATACTACTTCGTATATTGTAATGAACCATACAACTTACAGATAAGCAGTAAGTAAATATTGCTCGCACAGCCCTCATATTCATCTTTCAAAGTCTTTATTTTTTAGAAATTAAAGAGAAAAACAAAGAAAATATATAAGAGGGCAAGTTTAGCCTTGTTATTTGTGTTTTCTCACAACTTAAATACAAAGATCGAAAAATAAATAAATTCATGAAATTTGAAAACTACAGGTAGTGTCTACATTTATACTATAATAAATAATAATAGGATATAAATACTTTAATTGTATTGTGTAACTTTTATACTTTTTAATAATACGCACAGTATAATATAATTTATTGTAAAAATTAATAATTCAAATTTAATTTTGAAATAATATCTTAACCTATAACAAAGAAACAAAATCGAGCTCTCTGCTATTGCAGCGATAAAAAAAAGAAGGAATGAAATAAAGTACGATATGTTTACTAATAAATTGTAACAGTACCTTGGCGTTAGAAATTTGATAAAATATGAAAAACGGACGGAATGAAGAAATGCCTCTTATCGTCGAAGAGACGCGCCGCACTCCAACCGTGACGACGCCGTGAATTCAAAATGCGTCATTTGTTTCCCTCTCGGCATGTATACATAAAAAGTGTCATCTTTTATAAAACATTTAAATTTGCATTTTGATCGTATACAAATACTGCTCGTGTACATATTTCAAGATAATAATTTTAAAAGAAAGTGGAATTATTACTGTAAAACAAAATTTACGATGTAACAAAACAATACATCAAGATTTAATTCGAAATGTGCGTGTAATATAAGTTCATATGAAAATATTTTTCCTTGATAGGAAATTAATATAAAGCAAAGAACCTGTGCCACATCGTCTGAAAATCCTAAATGCTGATAACACAAAGTCTACGACGATTTTGGAACGCCGAGTGCCCGAGTATAGATTCATATTTTATTTTAAGCGCGTGTATTCGGAATATGCATTTATAATCGATTTTTTCTGGCGTTTTCAAACCTTCTTTTCATTATTATTTCATTTTATTATGCACGTATCGTATTTAATATTAATAGTATACGTAGATATTATAATAATACTCGTATAAACGTTTTAACTTTTTACTGTAGAAATTTACGGGTGGTAAAAAGAAAAATGATTAGCGAACAGGAACATGATATTTAGGTAGTAAAGTGGGAGGTGGGGGAGACACGAGTGGTAAAAGCAGGTGAAGCTAATCAATGCCAAAACTCTGGTGTGCGGCGGCGGCGTGTTGCTCGGCAACAGCCGTTACGCTGGTCCCAACAATTTTAGTTATAAGTTATAATACAACCCAGGTAAAACGCCCTCACTCTCTGTACCACTTGCGCGCACACACTCACACGCCACACATACACACAGGTAAATATATATATACATATTGTGCTTTTGTTCAGGGCATTTGCATGGGGTCACCAGCCGATATTAGGTGCGTTTGTGTATGTATGTGTATTGTGTACATAATGTGTGCGTATATTATACATAATATTATATATAAACATTTATATATCGACAAAGGTCTTATATATGTATATATATATATATTATATACACACGCAGACAACAGCATGCTCTTGTCATTCCTCGGCGTCCTTTGCAAGCTTGCACCACATACACACACACACATACACAGACACGAGCGCGCGCGTATGCACTTAAGCTTTTGACAAATTGCTATGCGTGTATTGTCGACCGAATAATTGACACGTACCGGACGATTAACATATTTAAAATACTCCACGGCTAAAGCTACACACGCGCACGAGCGTTTGACGCCAACGCACTGTACAGACTGTACACATACCAGAACGCGCGCGGGCTAGTGCGAGCACGCCGTATATAGCTAGCTCTCGTTAGTCTAAAACCGGGGTTTAGACGGATTTATATCTCTCTTGTTCAAACTTTGTGACAGGTTGAACGCTTTGTTCTTGATTAAGTTCGGTAATCCGTACGCTGGAGCACGTTACGGCTCTCCTTCGTCGTCCGCCTATTCCTACCGGCCCACCAAACTCTAGCCGTAGATTAAGTGATAAAATATAATTTTTTCATTTTCTCAAGCCTTTCGTACCCATACCAAGGAATCGTGATTTTTTTCTATTCATTTATCTCTTGGTCACTTCTTCTCTTTCCTTCTTTACCTATCTATATCTTTATCTCTGCAGCCATCCCCTTAGTCATGGCGTCGCAATTTGTTATTATCATCATTATTATTATTATTATTATTATTATTTATGCTAATGCTGCTGTAACTGACTCATTATATGATGCACACAATACAGCGCAAGCAATTCAATTTAAAGTCACGCCGCCTAAAATTATTAAAATTATCTCGTTAGTATATGGTTCCACACACAAACACCAAGCCGATATTGAGACAGTTTATTTTAAAATATTATGATTTTTATTATATTTATTATAGAGCAAATCGTCAAAATATTAAAAATAGATGGAGAAAAATGATAGTAGTAAGAAGAATAAAAAACATATTAAGAAATATAAATTCGGGTAATCGTTAATCGCTGTTTTTTGTAACAGTAAACTGCGCTAGCGTTAGCAAAAATGAAATGTCCGACATCGGTGAAAAAGACGCACCTGACTGATGACTGAATGCGGGTGAATCGTCGGAGGGAAGTTATTTGCATCTGTTGCACCAAGCCGTGTAATTAAAAGTCTACTTAATGGAATGGAAACAATTATTAAGTAACGTTTTAAAAATTTAACTAAATCCCCGTCAACGCCAGTGTGAAATTGGAATCCAGGTTGAGTCGACGGATGACGCATTGAGACATTATTTACTAACACACGCATGACTTTATAAATAATAAGTATTAACATAACATACACAATTAAAAACGATAATAGTGTGTTTACTATCTATTATTATTAAACATTGTCATTATTCTATTTTATAAATTGTATATAAACGAGGTAGAACAAGCATCTATTGTTTGGATTCAGGCCTCCGTCAGAATGAAGTCTATCGTGTGTATAAACTATAGGCATACTTTTTTTTTTTTTTTTTTGGTGAAGAAATATATATTTTGCAAGATACGAGGTGGCAAGAAGACGTGTGTTACACATAATTGTATACACAATATCAACCTTGTGTCATCTTCTCTTCCTACATATAATATTCTACGATGTGTTCGAACCTAATACTTGTCACAATTTCGAAACTTCGTAAAAACGTGTTTAGCATTTATATGGGCCGAAGTGAGAAAAAAAAATCTGTCATTGTGTGAACTCTAGCGCGAATAATATTTTATATAATTTCTTCGTCATTGGCGGCTGCGATTTTAATGTTACATTGTGTTTCCTCATAGAATGATGACCGTGTACGGGCTAATAGAGAACGGGTTCCCAAAAACTTTAATGCAACTATATTTTCTTGAAGTATATCATATTATGTTATAGCTATAATAGTTTAGTATTATTATTGTAATATAATCTAGAATAACTGCAATAAAGGAAACATTTTATCAGACTATATAAAGGTTTCTGGAATAAATCCGAAATATTAACAATTAATTTTTTCGATTAACAAAAAATAAGTGTCACAGTTAGGTTAGGTAAAATACAAATAATATTGTATCTATACCTGTAAAATGTTATAATAAATGAGTATGCAATATTAAGTTATAGATTGTTCAATTTCGATAACGTACAAAACCTTAGCTTATAATATATACTATATAATAACACAATCAGACTGGGATTATTTTCTAGAATAAGTTATCATATTATAATATAGATACAACCTCGTCATATAGTTTCGGGTATATTTTGATTTTGGAAATATTTGAAGTAATGTTATTATAACGTTGTTATGCGATGGTGCATGAAGTAATCTGAAATTGTACACGCACTCGGCCGAATCAAACAATTTGTTCTGATTGTATACTCCATGATGTGGTGCTGAAAGAGGTAGAGAGAGAGAGAGACCAAAAAAGAGAGTTGAATTCAAAAGACCCTTTTGTCGATCGGTCAGGCCAGTCGTGTCGGCGAAATATGCAGGTAGATGGCGGAAATAAAAATATTATCTGTGTCGATCAATATTATATGTACAATAAATAATAATATATATTTGAATATTTTAAAATGTTGTGTTTGCAAAAGTTTTCCTTCGAATCCAAATTGAATGATTGTTTCGTAACGTCTTGAAGTACCTATTTTGTACTCGTTTCCTACTATACACCAGGCACAGCTCTGTTCAGTCGATGGGCTCAGGTATGCGATTTATGAACAATGAAAAATCGTTCGGTATTTGTTGACGTCGAAAAAAAATCACTTACTTCACAGTACCGTCGATTATTTATTATTATCATAATAGGATACAACGAGAGGATGCATGAGCGCTCGATGACTACCCATTTTCTTCGGAAAAAAACCCATTATCGCCTTGTTATGTTATGGTGTTTGAACAGACCCTAAAACGGTTAGGGTGCGGCGCGTTGAATTGTTATTTTTAAACCATTTTTTATTTTCCTATGACAATAATGAACGAAAATTAGCGGCTATAATAGTAGGTATCGTAATGATTTCTATTCACATATTGTTATACTCTCTCTGATCAGTCTTTTAAATTTGCACACTTAAATACACCAATTATAAAATTATTGCAGTCAGAAATTTTAAGAGCGCTGTCGTAATTACACAATAATATAATTCAAATGGGTTTATCTATACGTTAGTATATATTATATAAGACGTTTAATATTTACATAGGTTGTCGGATTTACACAAATACCTAAATAATAAATTCGGCTATCCGAGGACATTGAATGGCACTCACCTGTAGTGTGGGTCGCGATATCTCTTTCCAGGGCGATATTACCAGCGTAATCCTCTTGTAGTACATGCGGTGACGTTTTCGGCACTCGGCATAGCTTTTCAAAAAAACTTAACAGCAACGCGAACACACAACAAATAACCACTAACACAAACGTACCAATATATTATTATTGTGTTGTATAATTAATATTTGTTATTATTAGTAATGATTCGTAATGTAAACAAACGAGGAACATTGGGGGTATGGGATTCGCTTCGACCGGTAAAAATCCAACGATGATAATATAGCGTATCGACGGGAAAGGCACTGGGGACACTCTTCGGAAAACTGATAAATCGTAAACGAAAACACAATATTTCCTAATAACAACGGCGTCGTAAACTCGGCAACGACGACGACGGAGACTATATAGCGACCGGCCGGAATGAACGTGCGTGCTGGTGTGTGCGTGGAATTCCGGTCGAAAGGATCCCCGGTGCGCGGCGGCGGCGTTCGGGCGTCGGCCACTGCCGGCGATCTGAACCGACGCCGACCGACTATCGATTTTCTGACCCCGGCGGGATCGTGTTTTCCGCCGCCACAGTTTTTTCCTTTCCCCTATACAGAGTATAATAATATAGTTTTCGGCTGCTGCTGCTGAACAACGAGATTTTCTGCGGCGTGCGTGGCTGCATAAACTGTTGGCCGCTGCCTATAGAGATTATGTCACAATAACGACGATTTAATAGTATTAATAATAATTATAACATTGTACCTGCAGTGGTGTACCAGTAGCAGAGTGGGGGGATGGGGGCATTCGCCCCCCCATAGACTGTACAAACGTGTGAATTGTTATTAATTGCTTTCAGTGTTTTTTAGTGTTTTTATAATAATTTTAAAATATTTTTTTTTACGAAAACATGAAGTTGGTGGTTACTGGTTAGTATGATAAATTGATAAACTAGTCAAACACATACATACATTTTTGTTATCTGTTGTCGAATCGGATCAAAATCTATCTAGTACCTACTGATTTTAATTATTTATATCAACTGTTTTGCTTTATGCTTGTGCTATAAATTAAAATAATGGAAACACTCAAAAATGAGCCAAGATCGCTAATTCGGACTTGTATTGTTACTTATTTACAAGGAAATCAGTATATCATTTGATAAACTTATTGAAAGATTCATCCATATAAAAAATCGGAAGTTAGACTTTGTATTATAAACATGCATTAAACTATAATTAAATAGATAAAAATTTCTTATTTTATGTATTACAATGTTATATTTTTCAAAAATAAAATAGCCCAATATCTGTATCTATTATTAAATTTATTGTAACTGTAGTGTTACTTTTTTAATTAATTTTAAGAATATATATTTCAGCCCTGTAAAAAAGGCCAGGTACGCCCCTGTGAACCTATATGGGCTGCATAGATATATGTGTACGTATTTGTGTGTGTGTTAAGTGAGCATTTTTTATATTTTTCTTCTTAGCCATTAGCATTTTTTTTTAACTATTAAGAATGAAGAAGCTTCAGTGTAACCTCTGGAAGTTCTGAAATCCATGACTTAAGATACAAAAATGTTATTATTATGTGCACACATTTGAAATTTTTTGATTTGGTCGATAAAAAAAAAAAAAAATAATTGAATTTCCGCGTAACATACAACGTATGGATAACAGTGTAAACAATCATGCTTATCGTTGATTGTGTTTCTGAGAATATAAGTTATAAATATATAAGCTGTGTACGGCACATAGGTAGTATAATTTGTACAACTTTATACAAAATGTATTGATCATAATAATTGATGTTATTTGTATGATAATTCACAATTCAGTTGAAAATATAAAATCTGTTGTGAGGAATAAAAAACTTAAATTAACACAAATGTTTTGTAAATATTTATTTGTTCACATTGCGTCTAACCTTAATTTATAGTCAAATTCAATTTTTTATTTTTTCATTTCTTCGTAAGAACATCTATCCTTCTTGAAGAACGATCTCACTCTAAGCAGTAAGCTCCAAAACATATAAATCCAACCTAGAAAATCCACATCCCTTGTGGAGAAAGATCTTCCGTCGAATTTTTTAGGTATCAGCTTTAAACAACAAACATTAGTATGTATATCGCCGTATAAAATATTTGAAAAAATATATATTTCTTTAAAATTGTACTTTCGTTTTTTTTTATCAGCCCTGCAGACCGCAGACGTCATGATTAAATTAAAAATTGATACACCTCCTCCTCCGACAAAATAAGATCGATTGTATACACCAATAATGCCACGATGGTAGACTCAAGACAAACACACTGTGTATTTATGATTTTTACACGTTGTTGTCGAATCCACTTCATCCCATTCATTATGTAATTGTATAAACACGAGTAATAAAATAATGACTGCAATAATACTGTCCAGTCTGCTAAGCCATTTGAACGATTTCGACGGCAACCTTAAACGGTTTCGAGACGTAAATCGATTTGCCAAAAACAATATGTAGCGATTTTATCAAAACGAAAACAGTGGCCTCCACAATAACCGCGACGACAAATCCTATCGCATTTGTTTTTACTGTACTATTATGTATGTATAAATATATATATATGTATATATGTTTATTTATTATATGTCTGTGCGTGCATTTTCTGCAGACTTTGAGGAAAAAACGCGTTTACTGCCGCACCGTACTAAAATGTATTCGTTATTTTTACGACCTCGATATAAATGTTATGTCCGTTAACATGTAAAACAGTAGTATAGTGCGTGGTGTCTGTATAGTATATATATATAATATACACTATGCAATATAATATGCGTAGTACGTGTCTAAGTTTAGAAATAATTCCTTTTCTCATTTGTCTGTTTGATGTTTACAATATGTATTATGTGTAAATATATATATATATATTATATACTAGCTATCTCCTTGCACTTCGTTGTCCGTAGAAAATGCATCCGTGTTAAATTTGGTTGTCTAATCCTAACATTTATCGTAACGTGTGTGGATAAATAATATTTTTGGTTTTCTGATTTGGTATATAGATGATATTTTCGACATGAACTTCACATAGCTGTCCAGCCCAGTATTACTTTTTTTTTTACCATTTAACATAATCAGCATTTTTTTAAACTTACTATTATTTTTATTTTTTTTTGTTGTTGTTAAATGACTTAAATTTGATTTCCTTATAATTCTGAACCAAAAACCAATAACTCATAAAGTTTCAATAGTGTGAATCATAAATAAGGAAAACATTTTCTGCGGTTATGCTTCATCAAACATTCACCAAAATACTAATTTCTAATAATAACTAATAATTGATAACACATATGAAAAAAAAAAAATTTGATGTGCGTATTTACTGATTAATTAAAAAATTAATAACTCGATTTTTCATTAATTTATAGAATTAGAAATAGGCTTATAATCTGCTCCGTAATATTCTCTTTCATCAAAAAGAAATTAAGATAGTTGAATGAGTAGTTTCAGTTAGAACCTACGTGACAAAGATTTCTGTTTTTACATTTATATATAAATATATACACGAATCCGAAACATGCCTATTCTAAAATAAAGATTATCATTACTACATGCAGGCCTAAATAAACACCCTCGTATATTATTATCTGCGAACAAGTTCAAATGTAAAGCTTTTAGACGATGAATAATCAATTAAAATAAATTAACACTAACTATTTAATACGATTAAGTTACAGTGTATTTTTAGTCTAAAAATGTTTTTCCATTAAAATAGAGTCATATTTGTAGAGTTGGATTATGATCTGGTAAAAAGTGCCAGGGGAAATGTTTTTACTATTTTGGATATCAATTTAAAAATATAATTAGACTTATGATTTTAATTTATAAATTAATCGGTTATTGGAGAAACCTGGCTTATTAAAAAAGAAAGAAATTATTGACTTGTTTACCATTATATAGGTATATGTAGTATTTAATAGCGGCGTAAATTGTAGGTGTCAAGAGAAACGCTATAGGATAAAATAATTTCATTTTACCGAAAGTTTTGTTTTAGAACAAATTAGATTTTTCAAATGACTGACTTAAATACAATACTCATAATTTTATAGGTATATGAATAATGTTTCAGAGCTTATACATTTTTAATATGGACTAGGTAGGTATAGTATATTTATTATTTAATACTATTTATTAAATGATACAGGTTTTTAACTCTGAATATTTGATAATATTTTAGTATTCTTTTTTATATAAAACTATTATAAAATTGGATTAATAAAATTTCCTATGTAAAACGTATATAGTTTTTCATTAGTCCTATATTTTTATATCTAATAGCACTATTAGATACACTATTTTATACACTATTATGTATGTAATATATATTAAACGATACATAACGCAATTTTAATAATAATTTCGTTACCTAACCGATAATTTTTTTATTGTTAACGTTATTTCATTTATTTTATACAGAATTAAATACATAATATATAAATTATTAAATAGCTTTGTGCCAATGTTTGTAATAATATATAGTTTTTATATTGCAATGTTATCTTATGAAATATGATTTTCCCCATCTCAGTTTATATAGTATAGTTGAATTTTATATTTAACGAAAAAAATTTCCAATGAATAATACCATTGATATCATGTTATAATATACTTACTAATTATCATTATTATTAATCAATCATAGTTACAACGTCTTGCATTACATTACACGTATCATATTACAAAAAATAAAAAATAATCTAATAGCTATGTATTGTTAGTTAACAGTTAGGTTAGGTTATATATAATATATATATTACGAATATCATAAAATAAATTTAAAAAAATAAATTGTATGTACATACATAAGTCACATTATACTCGTAATACATTAATACATATTATTTTACAAACCAACTTCATTAAAAAAAATCAATAAAATCAAACAGTCCAAAAATTATAATAGCAAATTTTACATTCAACATTTTACGTTATTATTTTTGATTCTGGTCGAAACAATGAATGTATTAATTGTACAATGAACTTTTTTTTTTGTATCCGTAATCATCTTTTGGAGTAGTAAAATGCACAAGTCTTCAACTTTAATATATTTTTTAGTAGAAAAGTAAATCTAGTTAATACTTTGGGAGGTCAAAAGTAAAAAATTCTTATTACTTTCTTTATAATTGAAAATAACGGGAATTTTCATATGAAACTAAATTAATTTATTTTAAAATTTTAATATTCATACCTTATATATAAAAAGTTTTAATCAATGATGAAATACATTCGTCACCCACTGCAGTACAGTAGAGTGGTTATATATTTTGCCTTTTTTTTAGTATTAAAGTAGATTTACTTATTATCATATCAATTTGGAATTATATTTAATAGGACTCTACACATGGATGTTTTTATATTTCTTTTTCGAAGCAAGTTATTATTATTTTAAAATTGAAAATTGCTTCAAAAATAAAATATTA